AGAAGTTCAAGAAGAAATTTGATTTGCCAACTACCTGCGACCACACCAAGATGAATTAGTTCCACTGTCTAAATCTCTCTCTCTCTCTCTCTCTCTCTCTCTCTCTCGTGTGTGTGTGTGCGTGTGTGTGTGTAGATTGAGGGGTTCATAAATGGCGTGACAAAGGTCTTCGCCCTATATACAGACGTACTGTACTAAAAACGTCACACACACACACACACACACACACACACACATACACACAGTATTGTCAAGGTGTCAAGGTAGACTGTGTGTGGGAGTGGTTCCTGACCCCTCGCTGTGGGGTTCACGAGGTTAGGAGGACCCTCAGAAGGAACCCCCCCCTCTCTCTCTCTCTCTCTGATCACCACCACTATCACACTCATTACCACCACTCTCACCCCCACCAGTATAACACGGTCGCTGGCAATGATGTTGTCTATAAGCCACCGAGGTGTGGGAACAACACACCACCACCTGAGTACTATCATTCCCACCTGTAATCAACACCTGGGCGGAGGTACGTGTATTGTAATAACAGGTGTTGAGGTGGATGGCTCCCACGGCCACCCGGGAGACGTAACCCCCGTGTTTGTCTCTGTGATCTGGCTCCCCTGTCAGATGGTGTCAGAGAGGCTACACACTCAATTCTCCCCTTGGCACCTGGTGTCAGGTAGGTCACTCTCCCCCTGCCAGCTGGTGTTAGGTATAGGTCACTCTCCCCCTGCCAGCTGGTGTTAGGTATAGGTCACTCTCCCCCTGCCAGCTGGTGTTAGGTATAGGTCACTCTCCCTCTGCCAGCTGGTGTTAGGTATAGGTCACTCTCCCTCTGCCAGCTGGTGTTAGGTATAGGTCACTCTCCCTCTGCCAGCTGGCGTACGGCAGGCCGAGGTGACCAACACTGCCAGCTCCTCAACACCCGAGTCCCACCTTAACATTAAGACCCTCAACACCACACACACAAGAGCTCATGCCATTCTCTTCTTCGTCGAGGTTGTTGTCGCAGTCGTTATAGAAGACGTCAATAAATGTCTCAACCTATTATTTTTATTATTATTATTATTATTATTATTATTATTATTATTATTATTATTATTATTATTATTATTATTATTATTATTAGTATTAGTATTATTAATCAAAGAACATTTCAACACCTTCCTTACCCAATCAATTACATATTAATCCATATTATAACACCATTTAAAGGAGAAAAATCATTTTGTTTTGGCGACAGTTGTTGTGTGTGGTGAGTGAGGAACATTCTTGTTGATAAGTTAAATGTTATTATCCTGACGACCCCGCTGACCGCACTCGTGTTACCTGTCCCACTCTCACCTGTGTGTACAAGACCAGGTCGTGTACTTGTTAGATATATTACCTTTCACATTCAACTACAAGCACAATCTTTTTTACAGCTTGTATATAATAAATTAAGTAGGTTTTGGGTACAACACATCCTTACTATCCGAGTCAATAATTTAACATTATTTTGTATATATGGCAAGGTTAAGTACTTGCTATTCTCCGCCTCTAAGATACTATTACATGATAATTACACTGTATATTACCTTATATACAGGAGGGTCTTTTATATAATATGCCTGAATAAACTTTCCCATTCAGAGTCTCATGTATCAGTATCACACACTGACACTTTCATAACTTGGTCTATTTAGCGTCGACTTCTCCCTTATGCCGCTGTGCTCCACTCCCTGTGTTTAGACCTGGCTGCTGGCATGTCTTTTTTTTTTCAATCAACTTGCTGAGATACGAGAAAAATCATATTGGCCTTAGACACGCACGCACGCACTGCGGCTGCCTGGGGATCAACACGTGGATCCTTTTCCCCTTCCTCCCTTCAACTCCTCCAAGTAATCAGTACGAGGATCGATTGTCAATTCACGAATACTATGACAAAGAATGAAAAACACAGCATATACTCGTGTGCCCAGTAGTGGTCAAGAAGGGTACAGGCGGGTATCTCACGCCAATTGTGTGAAATATACTCGACAAAGAAGTAGACGGCGCCCTCCCATTGTACTCACGACGAACAAAAGAAATACATAAAAGATCAAAATATGTACTGCACTCACCAGCCAGTTACTTCTCAATAGGCTTCCCCTTCCTCTTTATACACTTCCCCAGACGTCGAGCAACAGACTCGGAGTCTGCCAAATTCTTGAGGAGCTCAGGGTCCAAATTAGTCCACTCTTTACAAAAGGCGGCCTCCAGCTTTGGAATTGACGATGTATCCCTCCCCTGCAGACGTTGCTTGATGATAGCCCAGAGGTTCTCAATTGGATTAATATCCGGTGAATTGACTGGCCAACTAATGACTTGGCAGCATGACAAGTGCACCATCCTGCATGAATGTGTTGGCATTGCACTTTCCAAATGACCCGGACACATAATCACACCAAAGCTCCAAGTAGTTGTATTGATTAATTGTTTGATTTTTCACCGGAGTAACCAAAACAACCCCACACCATCAAAAAGTCAGGATGTTCAACAGTGTGGCACACATATTTAGGGTTCAGAGCATCACTACCTTTCTGGCGGTAAACGTTACCTGTCCTGTTGCCAGTTACAGTGAAGGTCACTTTTATCACTCCATAGCACGTGTTTCCAATTAGACGCAGGACACGCTTGATATTTATTGCTAAAAGCGACCCTATGCTCTCACTACTTAAGGGTGGTGAGTGGGTTCTTCCGGGGGCGGTGGTTGTGATACTTCAGGTCGTCGTGAAGGCGCAAGAGAAAGGTCCTGAGACTTCACCAAAGATCCTGGGGTTCTGTTCCTTTCAGTCCCTTGCAGTTAATCTTGGATATGACTCAACTTGCCCTTTGATTACTGTTAGGAGAGCGTGGTGAAGTAGCACAGACAGGTGTTGCCACCCCTCCACCCTTGAATTTCCTGATCCAACGTTGTACAGATCTTTCACTCACACCAACAATTGTCCGCCAGAGCAGTAGTCACAGCCCCTCCCGCCTACTTCTTCGTCGAGTATCAACCACGACGACCAGATGAAAGTCCAGCTAAACACCAACACCATCTGACTGTAATATGAGTTTTTCAAGCTGTTTAAACTGTTCACATTATTATTATTATTATTATTATTATTATTATTATTAATATTATTATTATTATTATTATTATTATTATTATTATTATTATTATTATTATTATTATTATTATTATTATTATTATTATTATTATTATTATTATTATTATTATTATTATACACACAGGTGCACAATTCACACAGCTGGGAAAATTCATCACTAGTCCAAGGATGCATAAAAAATATACAGTTCATGCTATCCTAACCAACTTATATATTTGGGACGGAAGTACAGATGGACGGAGAGGTAAAGGTGTACAGTATTCCCTCCCCGGCTTCCTCCTCTGACATAAACAGTGGGGCATAAAGAAAAAATATTATATAATTGACTGACGGGAATTTGTTTGATGAATCAGAGCACACACACACACACACACACACACACACACACACACACACACACACACACACACACACACACACGTTTATGTTATCACAACAAAATCAGTGAAATTCTGACTGACAGAGACAGAGGCACACAAAGGGAAAGTTTTTTTTCAGGTGTCATTCAATTATTTTTTTTCTTCACGGTTGTTTGTTCAAATATTTGTTGATAAATCCGCCCAAGTAATGTCTTTTGGATACATCTTTACTGTGTTGTTTATATCTATTTACTTGTTCACAAATTGTATTATGAATGATACGACTCCGCCAAGACAGAAATTTACTCTCACAACATAATGGAGGTTTTCAATGAGCGATCCTACTGAACTCTTCCATTGAACGCTCACACTGAACACTACCACTGAACACTACCACTGAATGCTACCACTGAACACTCCCATTGAACTCTCCCACTGAACACTCCCACTGAACACTCCCACTGAACACTCCAACAAAAGTTCTGCCTCACAATAAACCTCGACATCTTCGGTGGTGATACACGATCCGCTGCACTACAGTCCGCCTTGACCACTTCTTATGACCCACAGCCACCATAGAGGCCGTTGCCATCATCTGTGTTTCGTGTGTGTCTCGTGTCTCATCTATTTCACATTTTTTCTGTCTCATCCTTCTCAAATGAAAAACCTGAGGAAGTCATATGTCTTCTTAATCCTCAAAGCCCGTAGACGTGTCTTCTGGAGGTAACACCTGTAAGGAGTCTCCCCTAATTTGCATTATTTTTTCTTTAGCCGTCACCCGCTAGACCGTGGGGGTCACCTGTGAAAGTTAGCTGCTTTTTTTCTTTCAAATTTATTTATTTAGTTATAACTAAACAATTTCTTCGTTGTCAGTAGTTTCTGTTTTTAAATTGTCAACAACAATTTTTCAAGTCTAAGATCACTTACTTTGGTTCTTACAAGCCTTTACCTGTTATGTTTTGGCCCGAGTCTTATCATACAGCAGATAGCGGGTCACTCCACCACCTTGGCAGGATGCTGGAGTGGTCCACCCAAGGGTCGTTCTACCATTGCCCAGCAGCACCCGATACTGTACTCCTTTACTGCACCGTCCACAAGGGGTAGTTAAGTATACAGGAAGAGAACTCAGTCCCCTCAGTGTAGCTGCGAGTCGAATCTAAGACTCTTCACTTGCGAGACGAATGACCTACCACCGAGCTACTAATTTAAACATTAAAGACGTATTAATAACATGAGAGACACTGGAGATGTATAGCAACCAGGATATAACTCTTACCCTGGAGACATGACTCGGGTGGAGACATGGCTCGGGTGGTTGTCATGTTCTGGATGGTGACAGGACTCGGGCAGTGACATGATTCAGGTGGTGCCATGTCTCGGAGAAGGACTCACATCAGAATAGAGGTAACAGTGGCAGACGATTACAGATGGTGCGCGGGCAGGTGGCGTCCTCACCAGCTGCCGCGCCTACATGACACCTCACACGTTCACCTCCAATCGTCTTTAAATGGGTTCACTCTCGTGGGTGTGACATAGCTGGGTTTACTCTCGTGGGTCTGATATAGCTGGGTTCACTCTCTCGTGGGTCTGATGTAGCTGGGTTCACTCTCGTGGGTCTGATATAGTTGGGTTCACTCTCTCGTGGGTCTGATGTAGCTGGGTTCACTCTCGTGGGTCTGATGTAGCTGGGTTCACTCTCTCGTGGGTCTGATATAGCTGGGTTTACTCTCGTGGGTCTGATGTAGCTGGGTTCACTCTCGTGGGTCTGATATAGCTGGGTTCACTCTCTCGTGGGTCTGATGTAGCTGGGTTCACTCTCTCGTGGGTCTGATACAGCTGGGTTCACTCTCTCGTGGGTCTGATGTGGCTGGGTTCTACTCTCGTGGGTCTGATATAGCTGGGTTCACTCTCTCGTGGGTCTGATGTAGCTGGGTTCACTCTCGTGGGTCTGATATAGCTGGGTTCACTCGTGGGACTGATGTAAGCTGGGTTCACTTCTCTCGTGGGACTGGTGTAGCTGGGTTCAATCTCTCGTGACTTGTGTTTTGGGTTCATTCTCCGGGTTTGATGTGCTGGGTTCATTCGTGGGTTGATGTAGCTGTCATTCTCGCGGGTTTGATGTAGCTAAGTTCATTCCTCTCGTGGGTTTGATGTAGCTGGGTTCATTCTCTCGTGGGTTTGATGTAGCTGGGTTCATTCTCTCGGGTTTGATGTAGCTGGGTTCATTCTCGTGGGTTTGATGTAGGTCATTCTCTCGTGGGCTTGATGTAGCTGGTCATTCTCTCGTGGGACTGATGTAAGCTGGGTTCATTCTCTCGTGGGTTTGATGTAGCTGGGTTCACTCTCTCGTGGGTCTGATATAGCTGGGTTCACTCTCTCGTGGGTCTGATATAGCTGGGTTCACTCTCTCGTGGGTTTGATGTAGCTGGGTTCACTCTCTCGTGGGTTTTATGTAGCTGGGTTCACTCGTGGGTTTGATGTAGCTGAGTTCACTCTCGTGGCTGATAGCTTCACTCTCGTGGGTTTGATGTAGCTGAGTTCACTCTCTCGTGGGTTTGATGTAGCTGAGTTCACTCTCTCGTGGGTTTAATGTAGCTGGGTTCACTCTCTCGTGGGTTTGATGTAGCTGGGTTCACTCTCTCGTGGGTTTGATGTAGCTGAGTTCACTCTCTCGTGGGTTTGATGTAGCTGAGTTCACTCTCTCGTGGGTTTAATGTAGCTGGGTTCACTCTCTCGTGGGTTTAATGTAGCTGGGTTCACTCTCTCGTGGGTTTGATGTAGCTGGGTTCACTAATACTAATTCACTTAAATTCAGGTTCCTATAGCGAACACCTTGTCAAGAGATATCAACACCCGGATATAGCCAAGTCACACCTTATCTTTAATCACCCAACACCTTCTATTAATTGAATTATTTTACACCTTTAATTATCCAAATTATCTATAACCTTTTATCACAAATTATTTAACTATTGAACACCTTCAGGACCTACATGAAATCGTATGTATGTATTTTCCTATGCATGTTTGACGGCTGACACACCATCATTACTATTCACTAGGCGAACCCGAGTCACACTAAGGCCCCGACACTTTATGCTGTAATAAAACACAGTAAATAAGCCAGATGTATTTAACCGGGAAAAAAAATAATCGTCCCTTCTAACATGTAAGACTGTGAGGTGAGGTGTCTCGTCTTCCAGTTAAGTCAGAAACCAGTCCTCGTTGTTATCAGTCACCTGTGAGCAATACATGACTGGAGGATTTTTCGTGCTGTCAGTCACATGAGGTTTATACACTATGCGCCTGACTGTAGGATTGTTTTTTTTACAGTTAACATATGACTGTATGATCTTACCTCCAGTCAATAGTCAACACAACCGACTGGACAATATTTTTGACCAGTTACCGATATAGCCGATGCTCTCTCTTCCCCAGTCAACACACCCGACTGTACAACCCTTCTACCAGTCAACACACCCGACTGTACAACCCTTCTACCAGTCAACAGTCACCACAAGGCCAACTCTCCATCTCACATTAACAGTCACTATACCAGAGTTGCTCGTCTACACCACCACAGTTTAGTAGCCATGGTAAAGCATTGGACAGTTCTCTCAGATTTTAATCCCCACCTTGGAAGGGAGGGAGGGAGGGAGGGAGGGAGGGTAGAGGGAGGGAGAGTAGAGGGAGGGAGGGGAGAGTAGAGGGAGGGAGGGTAGAGGGAGGGAGGGAGGCAGAGATGGAGGGAGGGTTGAGCTGTGGTGTCGCCTCCTTGGGTCTTGTACAGCTGCGTTCACTGTGAGTCTCATGACCAAGTACGTTCAACCACCCCAAATCAATCCCACTTAGTCTTACTCAAGTCCTATCCAATCCTATTCAATCCTACCCAATCCTAAAAAAAATCCTACCCACACCGAACTAATCCTACTCCGTCCTACCCAAACTTAACTAATCCTAGCCAATCTTAGCCAACTCATCCAGGAGGGAGGGGGAGAGACACACCAATATGGACCGACACACTGATCCTGTTGTCTAAAGAACCATTAGAACCAGGAACTATTACAGGAGGAGGAAGAAGAGGAGGTGGAGGAAGAAGAGGAGGTGGTGGAAGAGAAGGAGGAAGAAGTAGGGTGGGGTGGGGTGGTGGTGGAGAGGAGGTGGTGGTGGGGGTGGAAGGAGAGGAGGAGGACTAATTCCAACGGTCTCCTATGCCTTTTGTGTCTTCCTCTTTCCAGTTGTCTCCTGTCTCCATCTCCTCCACTTTGCATCTCCTCTTCCCTGTCTCTTCCTACCTCCACTTCTTGTCCTCTACTCCACTCGATTTCCTCCTCCACTTCCAGTCATCGTATCTCCTCTCGTTTCCTCCTCTTCTCGTCACCTTCTCCTCCTCCCAGAGCCACCGCCTGCAGGTCTTCACGAGCGTCGTGAGGGATCATGTCAGATTAGCGACTCAATGGAGGCTTTAATAAGAGGCATTTATTCAGCGGGTGATTTTCTTAGGAGGATGGGAGGCGGATCCAGGGGGGGAGGAGATTATGGGGGGGACTGGATGGAGTAAGGGGGGAGGTGCAGGCTGGTGGCAGAGGGTGTAAAGTGGGGGGGAGAGGATGAAAGAGGGGGGGGAGAGGATGAAAGAGGGGGGAGGGAGAGTGATGAAAGAGGAGGGGGGGGAGAAGGAGAGTGAGAAAGGAGGTGGTCAGGAGGATAATAAAAGGGTGCGGAAAGGGATTTAGAAAGAGAGGGTGAAGAAGGAAGGGTGTGGAGGAGGAAGAGGAGGAGGAAGGAGGGAGAGAAGATGAAGGAACGGGGGGGAAGGAGGAGGAGGAAGGAGAGACGAGAAAGAGATGCTGAAAAAGGAAGGGCGAGGAAGAGGGGGAGAGTGAGGAGAAGGGGAGGTAAGGAGTGAAGGAGGGAGAGGAGGAGGAGGTCAGTACCAGGTGATAGACACATGATAAGACCGACTTCAAGAATATTAAACACAACAACAAAAGCACTGGCTGTGGAGAGGGACTGAGAGTGGGAGAGGAGAGAAGGATGGAGAGAGGAGAGAGGGGCGGAGAGAAGAGGGCGGGGGCATCGTTCTTTTCTCGCGTGGGAAGAGGAAGAGGAGACGGGAGGAGGGTAGAAGCCATCAACCTTCCTGAGGGATTACGTCTATTCTCAGTAAACATTCTACCTCAATAAACGACAGAATCTTCCATTACAATATTAAGGTAAATGTGAACGACTCGGATACTCTGGTTGGTTGGTTGGTTGGTTGGTTGGTTGGTTGATTGGTTGGCTGGATGGTTGGTTGGTTGGTTGGTTGGTTGGTTTGGTTGGATGGTTGGTTGGTTGGTTGGTTGGTTGGTTGGATGGATGGATGGTTTGGTTGGTTGGTTGGTTGGATGGATGGATGGTTGGTTGGTTGGTTGGTTGGTTGGTTGGTTGGTTGGTTGGTTGGTTGGTTGGTTGGTGTACGCCCCGAGATGATGGTTAGGTTAGGTTAGGTTAGTCGTGTAAACATTATACCTGGAGCGACAGTAAGGTATACACCAGGTGGATTCATCAGAGGATTAGGCACCATAGCTTATGTCAAGGGATAATTAAACACCCTAACGCTACCTGGAATGAGGTTAAGTTGGCATGGGCTGGCATGGGTTGGGATGGCGTGGGCTGGGTTGGGTTGGCATGGGTTGGGTTGGGTGAACATTAGGGTGTTTAATCATCACGTGAAATAAGCGAATGAATGGAAAATAGTGTGTGTGTGTGTGTGTCCGAGAGTTTCTAAATTTTACGTTCAATCGTTTCTTTTACCAAGTCCTTCTTTACCCATCTGTCTGACTCTCTCTTTCCATTAATTAACCTGCACACACAAACACACACACACACACACACACACACACACACACACACACACACACACAGGAGAGAGAGAGTCGTGCCAGACACTTACCTGAAGATTAATGACCTTTACACCTCACCTGCTTCTTCTTAATCACTGTTTATCGCCCCACTTAAGGCAGCCATTGTTGCTGGTGATGACCGTGTACAAATTAATGACACATCGTTACCTCTCTGTCGCCTGCTTGTGAGGTGACTTAAGGGCTGGTTGGGACTTAAGGGCTGGTTCGTCGACGTCAATGAATGGAGACAGATAAAGTAACAGATAGAGACTGCCAGACGCACTTAAGATAGCTATTGTTGTTTGTTTGTGTGTGTGTGTGTGTGTGTGTGTGTGTGTGTGTGTGTGTGTGTGTGTGTGTGTGTGTGTGTGTGTGCAAAGTAAAAATAATAATCGTGACCTGGCTAATTTCTATACGGGATACAAGATAGTGGTTTAGAGTCGACACAACATTTCGAAATTTAGTTACGTCAGCAGCTCTATACATGCCAAATATACGATAATTTCAATTGTTATAAATATTAAATCACCATAAGAACACCCTTGTTTATTCTCATCATCACTCTTAGGTTCAGTAACAAAGAACCATCACCTACCAACACTATACCATGATGATGCTCAGAGTGGCGCTTCTAAGGTAACGACTAGCAGCATCAGGATAAACACGCCGGCCCTACTGTTTTCACTCACTAGCGGAGACTCATAGTGTAAAGAACTTGTACTCTTTCTCTGTCTGTTTCCTCATTTGTATTTCTAACCAAATCTGTCTTTCTGTAACGACTATTGTGTCTCTTTCTGTGTGTCTGTCTCTCCTCCCTCATTTATCCCTACTCTCTCCATTACACATATTATTTCCCTACATACCTTCCTCTTCACTAAACTCTTCCACCATATAAACACACCCCACCCCTCTATTCTGGTCCCCTCCCCCCCCACTCTCACACAGTTGCTCCCCTTCCACTACGCCAGCCAGCAGAGGCAGGTTTTTCTTCCCAGGGGTGTAAGTGGGGCGAGAGCCATGAGGGATCACCCCCCTCACCAGGAGGTTGGCACCATCCATCACCTGAGGGTCTCATTACCTTCACCTGTGGGCGATGCTGCTGGAGACAACACCATCTTACCTTGCCAATATAAGATAAGAGTTATGTGTGTATATATTACTTAATGT